GAGACGAAAAATGTGTTTTGTAACATGGATGAGAAGAAAGATGAATATCGGTTATTATGGATGCAAGGAGAGATGTGTCAATTATCATGGATGAGAGGAGAGATGTGTCAATTATGGATGAGAGATATGTCAGTTTTCATGGATGAGAGGTAAGATATGCCAGTTATCATGAATGAGATGTGTCAATTATCATGGATAAGAGATGTGTCAATTATCATGGATGAGAGGTAAGATGTGTCAGTTATCATGAATGAGAGATGTGTCAGTTATCATGGATGAGATATGTGTCAGTTATCATGGATGAGAGGTAAGATGTGTCAGTTATCATAGATGAGAGATGTGTCAATTATCATGGATAAGAGATGTGTCAATTATCATGGATGAGAGGTAAGACAAGTCAGTTATCATGGATGAGAGGAGAGATGTGTCAGTTATCATGGATGAGACGTAAGATGTGTCCGTTATCATGGATGAGAGGTAAGATGTGTCAGTTATAATGGATGAGAGATGTGTCAGTTATCACAGATGAGAGATGTGTCAGTTATAATGGATGAGAGATGTGTCAGTTATCACAGATGAGAGATGTGTCAGTTATCACAGATGAGAGGTAAGAAAGTGTCAGTTATCACAGATGAGAGGTAAGATGTGTCAGTTATCACAGATGAGAGGTAAGATGTGTCAGTTATCACAGATGAGAGGTAAGATGTGTCAATTATCACAGATGAGAGGTAAGATGTGTCAGTTATTACAGATGAGAGGTAAGATGTGTCAGTTATCACAGATGAGAGATGTGTCAGTTATTACAGATGAGAGGTAAGATGTGTCAGTTATCACAGATGAAAGGTAAGATGTGTCAGTTATCACAGATGAGAGGTAAGATGTGTCAGTTATCACAGATGAGAGGTAAGATGTGTCAGTTATTACAGATGAGAGGTAAGATGTGTCAGTTATCACAGATGAGAGATGTGTCAGTTATTACAGATGAGAGGTAAGATGTGTCAGTTATTACAGATGAGAGGTAAGATGTGTCAGTTATCACAGATGAGAGGTAAGATGTGTCAGTTATCACAGATGAGAGGTAAGATGTGTCAGTTATCATGGATGAGAGGTAAGATGTGTCGTTATTACAGATGAGAGGTAAGATGTGTCAGTTATCACAGATGAGAGATGTGTCAGTTATCACAGGGTGAGAGGTAAGATGTGTCATTATCCAAAATGAGAGATGTGTCAGTTATCACAGATGAGAGGTAAGATGTGTCAGTTATCACAGATGAGAGGTAAGATGTGTCAGTTATCACAGATGAGAGGTAAGATGTGTCAGTTATACAGATGAAAAGGTAAGATGTGTCAGTTATCACAGATGAGAGGTTTAAAATGTGTCAGTTATCACAGATGAGAGGTAAGATGTGTCAGTTATCACAGATGAGAGGTAAGATGTGTCAGTTATCACAGATGAGAGATGTGTCAGTTATCACAGATGAGAGGTAAGATGTGTCAATTATCATGGATGAGAGATGTGTCAGTTATCACAGATGAGAGATGTGTCAGTTATCACAGATGAGAGGTAAGATGTGTCAGTTATCACAGATGAGAGGTAAGATGTGTCAGTTATCACAGATGAGAGGTAAGATGTGTCAGTTATCACAGATGAGAGATGTGTCAGTTATCACAGATGAGAGGTAAGATGTGTCAGTTATCACAGATGAAAGATGTGTCAGTTATCACAGATGAGAGGTAAGATGGTCAGTTATCACAGATGAGAGGTAAGATGTGTCAGTTATCACAGAAAGGAGGTAAGAAAGTGTCCCGTTATCATGGATGAGAGGTAAGATGTGTCAGTTATCACAGATGAGAGATTTTGCAGTTATCACAGATGAGAGGTAAGATGTGTCAGTTATCACAGATGAGAGGTAAGATGTGTCAGTTATTACAAGATGAGAGGTAGATGTGTCAGTTATCACAGATGAGAGGTAAGATTTTGTCAGTTATCACAGATAAAAGGTAAGATGTGTCAGTTATCAAGATGAGAGGTAAGATGGTCAGTTATCACAGATGAGAGGTAAGATGTGTCAGTTATCACAGATGAGAGGTAAGATGTGTCAGTTATTACAGATGAGAGGTAAGATGTGTCAGTTATCACAGATGAGAGATGTGTCAGTTATTACAGATGAGAGGTTTAAAATGTGTCAGTTTATTTCAGTGAGAAAGGGAAGATGTGTCAGTTATTACAGATGAGAGGTAAGATGTGTCAGTTATCACAGATGAGAGGTAAGATGTGTCAGTTATCACAGATGAGAGGTAAGATGTGTCAGTTTTTTAAAAGATGAGAGGGAAGATGTGTCAGTTATCACAGATGAGAGATGTGTCAGTTATTACAGATGAGAGGTAAGATGTGTCAGTTATCACAGATGAGAGGTAAGATGTGTCAGTTATCACAGATGAGAGATGTGTCAGTTATTACAGATGAGAGGTAAGATGTGTCAGTTATTACAGATGAGAGGTAAGATGTGTCAGTTATCACAGATGAGAGGTAAGATGTGTCAGTTATCACAGATGAGAGGTAAGATGTGTCAGTTATTACAGATGAGAGGTAAGATGTGTCAGTTATCACAGATGAGAGGTAAGATGTGTCAGTTATTACAGATGAGAGGTAAGATGTGTCAGTTATTACAGATGAGAGGTAAGATGTGTCAGTTATCACAGATGAGAGGTAAGATGTGTCAGTTATTACAGATGAGAGGTAAGATGTGTCAGTTATCACAGATGAGAGGTAAGATGTGTCAGTTATCACAGATGAGAGGTAAGATGTGTCAGTTATCACAGATGAGAGGTAAGATGTGTCAGTTATCACAGATGAGAGGTAAGATGTGTCAGTTATTACAGATGAGAGGTAAGATGTGTCAGTTATCACAGATGAGAGATGTGTCAGTTATCACAGATGAGAGGTAAGATGTGTCAGTTATCACAGATGAGAGATGTGTCAGTTATCACAGATGAGAGGTAAGATGTGTCAGTTATCACAGATGAGAGGTAAGATGTGTCAGTTATCACAGATGAGAGGTAAGATGTGTCAGTTATCACAGATGAGAGGTAAGATGTGTCAGTTATCACAGATGAGAGGTAAGATGTGTCAGTTATCACAGATGAGAGGTAAGATGTGTCAGTTATCAACAGAAAGAGAGGTAAAAATGGTCAGTTATCACAGATGAGAGATGTGTCAGTTATCACAGATGAGAGGTAAGATGTGTCAGTTATCACAGATGAGAGGTAAGATGTGTCAGTTATCACAGATGAGAGGTAAGATGTGTCAGTTATCACAGATGAGAGATGTGTCAGTTATTACAGATGAGAGGTAAGATGTGTCAGTTATCACAGATGAGAGGTAAGATGTGTCAGTTATCACAGATGAGAGATGTGTCAGTTATTACAGATGAGAGGTAAGATGTGTCAGTTATTAAAAGATAGAGGTAAAATGTGTCAGTTATTACAGATGAGAGGTAAGATGTGTTTAGTTATTACAGATGAGAGTAAAATGTGTCAGTTATCACAGATGAGAGGTAAGATGTGTCAGTTATTACAGATGAGAGGTAAGATGTGTCAGTTATTACAGATGAGAGGTAAGATGTGTCAGTTATCACAGATGAGAGATGTGTCAGTTATTACAGATGAGAGGTAAGATGTGTCATTTATTACAGATGAGAGGTAAGGATTGTCAGTTATTACAGATGAGATGTAAGATTTTGTCAGTTATTTTCAGATGAGAGGTAGATGTGTCAGTTAAACCCCAGATGAGAGGTAAGATGGGGTCAGTTATCACAGATGAGAGGTAAGATGTGTCAGTTATCACAGATGAGAGGTAAGATGTGTCAGTTATCACAGATGAGAGATTTTGTCAGTTATTACAGATGAGAGGTAAGATGGTGTCAGTTATTACAAAATGAGAGGTAAGATGTGTCATTATTACAGATGAGAGGTAAGATGTGTCAGTTATTACAGATGAGAGGTTAAGATGTGTCAGTTATCACAGATGAGAGGTAGATTGTCATTTTTCACAGATGAGAGGTAAGATGTGTCAGTTTTCCCCAGATGAGAGATGTGTCAGTTATCACAGATGAGAGGGTAAGGTGTTCAGTTATCACAGATGAGAGGTAAGATGTGTCATTATCACAGATGAGAGGTAAGATGGGGTCAGTTATTACAGATGAGAGGTAAGAAAGTGTCAGTTATCACAGATGAGAGATGTGTCAGTTTATTCAGATGAGAGGTAAGATGTGTCAGTTATCACAGATGAGAGGTAAGATGTGTCAGTTATCACAGATGAGAGGTAAGATGTGTCAGTTATCACAGATGAGAGGTAAGATGTGTCAGTTATCACAGATGAGAGGTAAGGTGTGTCAGTTATTACAGATGAGAGGTAAGATGTCAGTTATCACAGATGAGAGGTAAGATTTGCAGTTATCACAAAGAGAGGTAAGATGTGTCAGTTATCACAGAAAGAGAGGTAAGATGTGTCAGTTATCACCCGATGAGAGGTAAGATGTGTCCCGTTATCACAGATGAGAGATGTGTCAGTTATCACAGATGAGAGGTAAGATGTGTCAGTTATCACAGATGAGAGATGTGTCAGTTATCACAGATGAGAGGTAAGATGTACATTACAGTAAAAGTTCTAATAATTTGTGTTATAAAAATAACAGTGTTCATTTGTGACAAATTTCAAGAGCTTATATCTAGGAAAATTAAAGAATGAATATGTTACAAAGGTCATATTAAGCTGAGAGTTTCTTATTTTTCTTTAAAACACTGGCTGTCTCCCACTAAGGTAGGGTGGCCCTTAATTTAATTTTTAAATAGGTTCTAAAATATAAAAGACAAAATTAAATTAGCAAGTAAGAAAGTAAATACAGAATGTAAGTATTGACATTCATCACTTCAATATTTGACAGTATGTAAGTAATGATATTTGTCACTTCAGTATTTAAATGTTACATTAATTACAGGAATATGGGATGACACCACAAGAGAAGATGGCTATTGGACAAGGCATTTGTACACCACTGTTGAAGAAGATCCGTGCTGACCTCCAACGAAACATCGAAGAAAGTGAGGAAAATGCTGGAGAGAGCATTAACAGGTTAAATCCCATGTGAGTATTATCTCTGGGCATAGTATTTTATTAATAAATAATTCCCGACCACCCCTATTATGTCTCTCACTCTTACCCTTCTTCCATCACCCCTTCCATCCCTCCCTCCCTCCCCCTCGTATAAAAAATGACTGAATTGTGAACTGCAGTGATAGATGGATGACTGAATTTAGTGTTCCCTTTATTTGGGTCTTCCTGTCTTGGTGGGATACAGCCATTAAAGAATAGAAATGTGAGAAAATGAAATAGAAATGTGAGAAAATAGAGTAGAAATGTGAGACAGAATGGAATAGGAATGTGAGACAGTCAAAGAGAAATGTGAGAAGGTGGAAGAGAAATGTGAGGAAAAATGAAATAGAAATGTGAGAAAGTGTAATAAAAATGCTAGACAGTGAAAGAGGAATGTGTGAAAATGGAAGAGAAATGTGAGAGCGAGTGTAAGGTGTTGGGAGCAGTAAGAGAATTAAATACTATGTTATTTTGTTTTATAATCAATCATCTATTGTTGTTGTGGTGTCTATAGTTCTGTGGTTGTCGTGATCGGGGACTTGAGAGAAGTACAGTGTTATTATTGCTGCTTTTCATTACCCCCTACAACCATGACAGTAGTGACAAGGATGGGATGGGTGTATATGCTGTGGAGGATAAAGTGTTTTCTATGATGGTTGAACATTTTGGCTTTGTAATTAATCAGAAACAAGTTCCTTTTGAGACTGACATTGGGACATCCATCTCAACATTATCTAAAGACTGGGTCGAGGCATTGAAAGGGCACATTGAACTGTGGTCTAGGAAGGTAACTCCATACGATAATTGGAAAATAAACCTTTTAGGAAAGGATGTTTTGCTGGTAAGCTATAATAACTTAGAGGTATCACAAGTGTTCTGTGTAGTGAAGTCAAATAATAATAACTTGTTTGGAAAAGACCTTGCTGGGTTAGATGAGTCTACCAAAATTAACAAACTAGACAGTGCTGAAGAAATTTTAGATCATTTTAAAGTAGATTCTAGTAATAGAAATGTGAGAAAGTGAAATAAAAATGTGAGAAAGTGGAATAGGAATGTGAGAAAGTGGAATAACTGTGTTCATTTTCTTATATTTGATAATATTGTATTAAAAATAACTTTAATCAACATTACAGATACTCTCACGGAGTGAGCAGTCCAAGTCGTCATGTGCGCACAAGACTGTACTTCACCAGTGAGAGTCACATACACTCACTTCTCACTGTCTTGCGCTTCGGCGGACTTATTGATGTGAGCTATTCATTACTGATGTATTTATAGGTTATTAATTTCTGATGTAGTTATAGGTTATTAATGTGAGTTATTGATTACTGATGTAGTTATAGGTTATTAATGTGAGTTATTGATTACTGATGTAGTTATAGGTTATTAACCCTTTCAGGGTCCAGAGGCAACATTTCAAGGGGTGCCCCAGTGTCCAAGAAATTTAAAAAAAAAAAAAAAAAAAATACTTACAGAATTAAAGATAATAAAATTTGTGAAGGTAATAAAACAAAACAAAAATTCTGATCAGTACTTACCGAGATATAGAGGCAGGAAGTTGACCCAAAGTGACCGGGTGGCGGCAACATCAGCGACTTCCGCAAAATCGCATTTCTTTATTTTACGTTTTATATACTAGTTTTTTCTTTTCTTTTCTAATTTTTTTCTTTTTCAAGTAACCTTTGTGGACTGTGAGACCAATACTGTATATAATGTAAATACATACACTCACCCTAGGTAGTAGGTTGGTAGACAGCAACCACCCAGGGAGGTACTACCGTCCTGCCAAGTGAGTGTAAAACGAAAGCCTGTAATTGTTTTACATGATGGTAGGATTGCTGGTGTCCTTTTTTCTGTCTCATGAACATGCAAGATTTCAGGTACGTCTTGCTACTTCTACTTACACTTAGGTCACACTACACATACATGTACAAGCGTATATATAGATACCCCTCTGGGTTTTCTTCTATTTTCTTTCTAGTTCTTGTTCTTGTTTATTTCCTCTTATCTCCATGGGGAAGTGGAACAGAATTCTGCCTCCGTAAGCCATGCGTGTTGTAAGAGGCGACTAAAATGCCGGGAGCAAGGGGCTAGTAACCCCTTCTCCTGTATATATTACTAAATTTGAAAGGAGAGACTTTCGTTTTCCCTTTTGGGCCACCCCGCCTCGGTGGGATACGGCCAGTGTGTTGAAAGAAAAGATATACACTTACTGTATTGAACACAGTAACTGCACTAAAGTTGTTATAATATTGTTTACCAGTATTGTTTACAATAATAAACATGCACAAATGTTGTATAATCCTAATGTTCTATTATATATTTACATATGTACAGTTCTCCATGGGAAAGTGGAACAGAATTCTTCCTCTGTAAGCCATGTGTGTTGTAAGAGGCGACTAAAATACCGGGAGCAAGGGGCTAGTAACCCCTTCTCCCGTATAAATTACTAAATTTAAAAAGAGGAACTTTCGTTTTTCTTTTTGGGCCACCCTGCCTTGGTGGGATACGACCGGTTTGTTGAAAAAAAAAAATATATGTACAGTCACTGGACATGTTTCTAGAACTGGTGCAGCCTGTGGAAGTCCTTGAAACCAGGTACCATGCACAGAGGTACCTTACATTCCTCGCACGTAAACCGTGTCTTTGTGTCTTTGTTTCTGTCATTTTGTTTGTGTACAGACAACACATGTCTTTGAGCAAATTTCTTCTAAGTTGCAGGAAGCTGTATTATGAAGTGATCATCTTCCCCCCTCAAACGCTTAGGTATTTCCTGAGGAGTTCGAGGACAGTTTTGTATAGCAGGTGTTGTTACTTGTTACTTCATTATGAGTTGTCTGACAACAAACAAACAAAATTCACCATACGGTGGTCTGCTGCTGGTCTTTATTTGGTACATATTGTATGCATTGAGCATTGAAATGTCCATGAGATGGAAGAAAAGTTTCTTGTACCACTTGTAACTCTTACGAACACAATCAACAAAACCAATCTGCATGTCACATTTGTCAACTAAACACGTGTTTTGTGTATAATCAATCACTGTCACTGGTTTTCAGATACATTCATTAGTGTCACTATCAACTTTGCCACTGTCTTTCATTTCGTTAGGGTGAATGGTTGTCAACAATGTGACATCTCGTTTGTCATGCTACCGTAATGCCATGATGTCATTGGCAGTAAACACCTGTATCTCACCAGCACGAGTGCCTGCGTTGAACCTGGGCATATGTTTACGATTAGAGTGCACTGTGCCACACACATTTGTCATGTTCACTTGCAAGAAATCACTGAGTAAAGGGCTTGTGTACCCATTATCAGTATATAATGTATACCCCTTACCAAGATAAGGTGCCATCATGCTTCTCACTACATCACCTGAGATACCCAATAACATCCTGGTATCTTTCAATGTTTTACTTCCCATGTATACAGTAATATCCAATACCAGGCCACTGTCACAGTCACAGAGTACAAACAGTTTTATACCAAAGCGTTTCCTCTTGCTCGGTATATACTGCTTGAACGACAGTCTGCCTTTGAACAAAATCAAAGACTCGTCAATTACAAGATTCTTGAATGGATAAAAGTACATGATGAACTTTTCTTTCAGATACATAAAATAATTTCTAATCTTGTATAACCTGTCACTTCTGTGAGGCCTGGTTTTGTCAGAGAAGTGCAACATACATAACAGTAAGATAAACCTGTTCACTGGGATGATATCACTGAAGGCCGGGGTACAAATTAGCAGATCTGTGGACCAGTATGATTTTATATTATGCTTATAAACATGAGGCATAAGCATTATTGTTGCAAAAAGCAAATACATTTCAGCCACAGTTGTCTCTTTCCACCAGTGTAGTCTTGACTGTGGTGATATGATCATATTTGTCATTCAAATTCAAATTCAAATTCAAAATTTATTCTCTATAAGGATTACAATGCTGAGTTTACAGAATTTGGTTATTGTGTGGTTTACATGTAGTAAAATAATAATTACAGAGTGTACCACTAGAACTCCTAGCATGGCTAGGCATTTCGGGCAGACTTAAATTAAATCTTAAGTTTAAAATATTACAAAATTATGAGGTTAGTTGGTATTATGGCTAAGTGACTAAATACTAGTTTGTGAGTTTAGCAATGTGAATGCTTTTGTTTTGGCACTATACATAGTTTCAGTATTGGAGTATCACAGGCCAACTTATGACTAGTTAAGATTCATTATTTTGAGATTGAGATTGATATTTCTGTTTATGGTCAAATGGGTGAGTGAGTGTAAGTGTTAACCACCAGGTGGTATTTGTGTAATTAGTTGACAGGGTGTATCAGGGAGATAAAATGTTTTCTGATGGTAGTTTTGAAGGTGATGAATGTGTCTGCAGTTTTAGAATTTTCAGGTAGGGTGTTCCAGATTTTAGGGCCTTTGACATACATTGAATTTTTGTAAAGGTTTAGTCGGACATGGGGAATGTCATAGAGATGTTTGTGTCTGGTGTTGTGCCTGTGGGCTCTGTCGCAACTATCAAGAAAGCGTTTTAGGTCAAGGTTAATATTGGAATTTAAGGTCCTGTAGATGTAGATTGCACAGTAGTAAGTGTGGATGTACTGAACAGGGAGTAAGTTTAGATCTATGAAGAGTGGGGGGGTGTGTTGCCAGGGATGGGATTTAGTGATTATTCTTACTGCGGCTTTTTGTTGGGTTATTATTGGCTTTAGGTGTGTTGCTGCAGTTGAACCCCAAGCACAGATAGCATAGGTGAGGTATGGATATATAAGTGAATGGTATAGTGTGAGAAGGGCAGTTTGCGGCACGTAGTATCGTATCTTGGAGAGGATCCCAACCGTTTTGGATACTTTTTTGGTTATGTGTTGGATATGGGTGCTGAAGTTCAGGTTGTTGTTGAGGTATAGGCCTAGGAATTTGCCCTCATTATGCCTGGCAATTAGAGTGTTGTCGATCTTAATGTTAATTTGTGCATCTCCTGCTCTGCTACCAAACATAATGTAGTAGGTTTTGTCAGTGTTAAGCGTAAGTTTATTGGCTGTCATCCAAGTCGATATTTTGATCAGCTCCTCATTAACAATGGTGTTGAGGGTGGCAAGATTAGGGTGAGAGATGACATAAGTCGTGTCGTCAGCAAAGAGAATGGGGTTCAGGTGTTGAGATAAGTTTGGAAGATCATTGATGTATATGAGGAAGAGCAGGGGACCAAGGACACTTCCCTGCGGAACTCCAGGATCAAGTGGCTGTGTTGTTGATGCTGTGTCTTTAATGGTGACATACTGATACCTATTAGTAAGGTAAGATTTGAAATATGCAAGCGCATGGCCTCTTATACCATAATGGTCAAGTTTGTGGAGTAGGATGCCGTGGTCTACTGTGTCAAAAGCTTTTCTTAGGTCAATAAAAATTCCTAGTGGATATTCCTTATTTTCCAATGCTGTGTAAAGCAGATCTAGCATTTTTATGATTGCATCGTTAGTGCTTTTATTTTTCCTGAATCCAAATTGGCAGGGGTTGAGTATGTTTTGTGCCGTAATAAATTAATATAGTCTCCTGTGCACGAGTTTCTCAAAGATTTTGGATAGCAATGGTAAGTTTGATATTGGCCTATAGTTGTTTAAATCTGTAGGGTCACCACCTTTATGTATTGGTGTAACCCTTGCCGTCTTGAGTAGTTTCGGGAAGGTGCTAGTTTCTAGTGACTTGTTAAAAAGTAATGAGATAGCATGCGAGAGGACATGGGCCGCTCTCTTGTACAATAATGGTGGGACATGAGACAGATTCCCTGAGTTATTTTTAAGTGACTTTATAATCTCGGTGACTTCCATGGGCTCAGATGGAGCAAGATAGAAGGAATTTGGGAAATTCCCATCTAGGTAGTCCCCAGCATGGGCATTGGTGCGTGGGATTTTATTGGCGAGATTAGAACCTATGGTTGAGAAGAAGTCGTTTATCTTGTTAGCTGTGTCAGTGGGATGCAGTGGTGTTTCATTAGGTTTAGTTAGGGCAGTATTCTTGGTTTTTTTCAGTTTGTGGGTCCCTAGAATCTGAGAGAGTGTTTTCCAGGTCTTTTTTATATCTCCTCTTGTGTCAGTGAATCTACTGGAGTAGTATAGTTGTTTGGCTTTCTTTATTACTTTGGTGAGGACTGATGAATAGTGTTTAAGAATATCTTTGTGTATTAAGCCCTGTCTATATTGCTTTTTATATTGGTGTTTCTTATCAATGGATTTCAGAATGG